AAATACATACATGCACAAACACACACACACACACAGTAAATACATACATGCACAAACACACACACACACAGTAAACACATACATGCACAAACACACACACACACAGTAAACACATACATGCACAAACACACACACACACACAGTAAACACATACATGCACAAACACACACACACAGTAAATACATACATGCACAAACACACACACACATACAGTACATACAGTATAAATGTTCTTTTACTCTCACTAAATACAGTTGTGTGTAACTTTACTGTAGTTTTCAGATGTACAGTGCTCACCAAGATCAGATTTTTTGCTTTGAAAACACAGAGAGTAAAGTGTCACAATGAAAACGTGACGAAGTCATTTGACTGTGTTGTTCATACTCCATGTTGTTAAGACTTATTATTTTGAGACACAGTTTCCTCGACATGAAGACTTGCTTTTGAGGAATACACTTTTCATTTTGAGAAGGTGATGCACTTTTGCAGGTTATCCCCAAGGTTTTGCAGTTTGTACTAATTGTTCTGATAAATGCACTAACTGTCGTGCAAATGTGAAGAATTATGTGATAAATGCACCAAAGACACTGAGAAAAACTGTAAGTAGCATATTTATTTTGTAAACAATGTAAATGTATACATTGAATGACGTTGCTCGTTTGTTTTCTTTCAATTCACTTTATTATTTTCATTATTATTTTTTAACTAAAGTCAGCATGACACTAGATTTAACTCATTTTAACTCAGATCCTCCCTCTCCCGAAGAAGACAAAGTAAAGTGGTTGAGCAACTTCAGCTCAGCCTGTGATAATGGCCTTATTTACATAACAAAGTTGGCCGTTCACAGGTGATTTAGTTTGTTAGCTAAAATCCTTGGAGTCATTTGGCACCGTGGTGGGCTTTTTAGGTAGAAGTGCCAAATGGCACCTCCATGGGTTTGCTAGTGCTAACTGACTTTATTTTCGTATTCATTACGAAAATGCTATCCATGTCCATGTAGTGCATTGGGATATACGTCCTTTTGAAGAATAATTAGCGCAGATTTGTGCTGGCGTGACATTATATTTTAGATCGAGTTTTGATGAAACAAGGAAGAGAATGTGTTTCGGGTCGCAGATTGTGACCAATCACAACGGACCACTGGCCCCCACTTTCGTGAGAAATCTACAGGTCCGTTAGCACAGACAGCTGAGTTAGCACAACAAGCCGAGGAGCTAACCTGAAGCTTCGTGTCTTCGTCACCGGTTACTGCTTACACAGCGAAACAGCCATCCAAAAGAAAGTCCCATTCCTCCGCGCTTCCCGGTTCTATCGTTTTATGGTCACGCCATCCACGTGCAAATCCATATTCATGTATTATCCATATTGGGAGACGCTAGCTCCGTCAACAACAGTGTGTGTGTGTGGGGGGCGATAGCTTCGTGGGTGCGGGGAGGGGAGCAGAAAGAGCGAGGCCAGCGAGTCTGCTGCTTCAAAATCCCAAAGTCAGTTAGTGCAGCTTTAAATAATAGACTTTGATGTGTGCAATCTGAGTGCTCTTATTTCCTTTTTTATAAATTGTGCTATATACATAAAGCAGTTTGGATTGGATTAAAATACAACATCAAACTGTGATTTCAGAACTGTCCGCCAAAATTCTTAATTATATTATTAAATTATATTTGGGAGAAATGTCATGTTTACGGAGGAGCAGCGCTGAACATTAAAACAAATCTCTATTGGCATTATATTAATCAGCATGTGGCTAAATCTTCAAATGAATTATCTAAAATTGACTAAATTAATGTTTGCTTTCCTTCGCACCTTTATGAAATTATAATGTTAAAATTGCAGATTGATTCGTTGAATTAAGTGCATCCTGATATAACCAAAATATGGAAATATGTTTAATTGCTTGCACCAAAATATAACATTCCGGGAGTAATAACTTGTTGCGTGTAGAAGGCGAAAAAAGAAAAAGAAAAACATATTTAAATGATGAATTATTATAGATAAAGTACCAACAGATGCCCTACAGTTCTGGCATAAGGACAAAATCACAAAGAACAGATTTTTTTATATCCTCAATAAGTTTCAATATGTTGGAGGACAAGTCTGTTTCTCGAAAAACTTTTGCTGTCAATTTTTGTGTGCCATGATTCGCAATTCCTGTGTTTTTCTTGATGTTGTTGTGTTTTGGGCAGACGGTTTCAGAAGTTCCAACTAATGAGGATACAAACATTGGGAACCGTAAAGTTGAGCTGTAAACTCTTGCACAAGTTTCTCCGTTTTCTTTTTCTAGTGAGACTAACAAACTCATTTGAAAACGGAAAGGTCAGGCCTGTGTCTTGTCCTCAAGTCGAAATAAGGATTTTATTTAAATTTGAAAAAGTGTATATGTTTTGCAGTTGGAAACATAACAGTCTCAAGGGTGCGTCGTCCCCAACTTAAAGCTGGGGTACTTGACTTTCAACGCACAAAAGATGGAAGAAAATGTGTAATAAAATCTATCAATTAAACTCTAATTCACTACTTTAATGAATTCTCAAAACCCACCCGTTTTGTTTTCCCTTTCCTTAATTTTGTTGTTCAATGTTTATTTTTGTAAGCGTCTTTGAGTGTCCAAAAAAGCTCCATAAATGTTGTATGTATTATTATTATTATTATTATTATTATTATTAATATTAATCCATCAATCAACGTTTATGTATATAGCACAGTTCATACAGAATGCACCCCAAAGTGCTTCACATTGGCAACATTTAAAACCAATTATAAAACACACTGTAAAAACAAATACAAAAAACAATTTAAAAAGAAAGAAAGAAATATATATATATGTATATCACTTATTATTATTATTATTATTGTTATTATAACTAGTTCCTCACTCTCAGACATTTTTTGGCTTGGTTTTAGATCAGTTTTTTCAGAGTAAAAGCAAAAAAGAGAGCTCAAACCATGCACACTCAGCCGGTCTAAGCCAGGTCTTAAAACCCAAAACATAAAAAAAGTGACTTACAGAGCTCTTTTTTACAAGTTTATGCAAAATATAACATGTTTTCTAATAAGGTGAAGACAGCATGGTTTGGTTTGATTTGCTCACAATTTTATTCTTTCACAAAGTCTCCTTCTGATGAGACACAAAGCATGTGTAATTACTGTAAAAAATAGAGTTTAGGTACCCCAGCTTTAGTACGTGGTGGAAGCATTTGCCTCGAGTTGAGTTGGTGCAGATGAGGACAGGCTACGTACTTAAGTTGGGAAAAAAAACAACAGCAGTGCTTAAAGCTTGCACAAACCAAGGCCACTAAGAGCCCAATCAAATGCAACATTTCCCTTTAAAACACTCCGCCTCACTCTGCGGTGGAAAAGCGCTCAGGCCGAGAGATCTCTATTAGGCAGAGGAAGGGAAAGGAATTTTGCCTGCTCGGATTTCTTAAGCGGACATGTTTTAACTGGACATACGGTTACTTTATTTGACAGAGTAAATGAAGAATAAATATGTGAAAACTGCCATCACACTGCAAAAAAAGTCATGTAAGTAGTAAGTAAGTCATGTTTATTTATATAGCGCATTTTACAGACCAAGGTCACCCAAAGTGCTTTACAATCTTCAGAGTTCAGATACTGTTCCAATCATTCCTCATTCCCGGTGATGACGGGAACACACTGGCGCATTAAAACCCCCAATCAACCCCATCCATTCACCCTTTCATCTACGTTCATGCCTTTTGTGCATATTTTTTGTGGTAGGGGAAACCGGAGCACCCAGAGGAAACCTACACAGACACGGAAGAACATGCAAACTCCACTCAGAAAGGCCCTGTTCCGACCGGGATTCGAACCCAGGACCTTCTTGCTGAGAAGTGAGAGTGTTATCCACTCAGCCACTGGCCGCTCTTGAGTAATAAGTGAAAAATTGCTACAATTTGGCACATTTATCTATGTGTCCATCTAAATTTTGACTGCCTTATATCAAGATTTGCCAATGGGAAAAGCAAAATGATTGATGGTTTTTGAAAATATACAAGAAAATAAAGCAACAGTTCTTGAAATAAGACTATAAGGCTGTGTCCCAGTGGATAATCTTGTTTTAAGACAGTAAGAATGTATTCAAATAAAAAAACTAAAAAAACCAAGCAATTAATTCAAGCAATTATCACCTCATATTTTATCATTTCTTTTGCAGTGCACAGTTAATACACAGCACAAGTAGCCATCAAAGTCCTCTCCATGTAAAATGCATAGAGAAGCACATATATTGGTGTCGCCCTTCAAAGCCTTCAAATAAACTCATGCGAGAGAGAAAAGAGACACCCTGGAGAGACACAGACAGACACATACAGCGATGGAGTGCGTGGGAGAAGGAGGTGAAGGACAGCACATCTCCGAGTGGATTTCACATGCAAAACACAAATGAGTCACTGCTGCTTTTACCTGTCACCTCTTTCGCCGCCAACATGGAATTCGCGCAGTGGGTATCGTTATATTTATACCATGGACAAATGATTAATATGTGGCAGCTAGGATTTGCGTTAGGGCTATAGGGATAGGAGCGTAAGTTATTTGCCATTTGTAATTTAAAACTGCATTTGAATAATGGTTGGGAATAGATAGAAATATACCCAATGTTCACCACAGACAACAAATATAAAAACACTGGAAGTCTTTTTTTTAAAATACATTTGTTTACAAGTTTGGATTCACAGCTTTAATGCTACTGTGGTTATTTTACCGTGCACGTGAGCGGCTGGTGTTGTAAATGTGATATACAAAACAAGCTGACAATGACATTTTTTTATGTCAGGCTATACAAGATATTACAAAAACATGCATGTGTCATACCGGTTCTTTTGCATTTGCATTAATAACAATGCAAATTATTGGACATAACTAATTTCCTATCTGGTACTTGAACAGTCATTTGTATTTAACGTCCTATGAGCCCCTTTAACGTCTGCCAACATCAAAAGTACAACGACCCCATACTGTGAGAACTTTACAGGAGTGATTTTTACCTTTGCTTTGTGGAGGATTCTGGCTGCGGTCTCGGAGAATGTTGATCTGATAAACTGCTCCATAAGGCTCAAATAGTTCTTTGAGCTCTTTCTCTGACCAAGAGCGTGGAATTTGACCAACAAACATCTTGATGGCATCTGGGTCAGGCTGGTCCGAATGCTCCAGTGCCCCATTCATCTTCCCGGGAGTGCCATTACTGTAAAAAACACAGAAAGATGAAATCTGGTTTAGTAACTGAGACAGTTGCCTTGTGCCACCTTGTGCCACCTGACACTGGGTATATTAGAGTGGTTGAAAAGAGAGCAAACAAGCAATGATACAATATTAACCAACACTAAAACTAGTACTGATACCAGACCCACAGTATCAATATCGTAACTTTTCATCTTCATCGACACAAGTCCCTGAATATGTCACAAGGCACCCACCACTTTCAGACAATGTAACAGAAGCTTGTTCCAAAGAGACTTTTGCTCACGGTTAGAGGGGAGTATGACCACTTTTTTGATCTTCATTTTGTGTCTTTAGCCCAACACTCCAACATGTGATGCACTTCTGACATTTAATGGGCTTAACCCTTGTATTATGTTAAGGGTCAATTTGACCCATTTCAGTTTTTGTGTTGATCAAAGTACTGGTTATCCTTTCTTTTTCTTGCTGAAATTTGGTGACTTTTCCTCATCTAGGGTCATGAACTGATGTGTAAAATCTGGACACTTTGATGTGCAGTGGAATGTCTGTGCAGAGTTTGTATACAAAGATGATGTTGCGGGTCATTTTGACCCAGACGCTTTAATGTGGGTAAATAGTTGTTCTGATCCAAAAAAACATGTCTCTTTGACATTGTATTTTCATTGCCTCTGAAACCCAGAGCCAGGTGTGTGAAGAGAGGGAACTTTCTCACACTTGTCCTTGTCACTGTTCTCATGTCATCTCTTTTGCCTAGCGTGCATCGTACTGGCAACTGATTATATCCGTCGCCTAGGAGTTGCTGCCCCGCACACATCGACAATCTGGCGTAAACGGGCAACTCCTGTAGCAGGCCAGTGTCGAGAATAACAGGAATAATAGTTGACAGCAACTGGCCTCAACTACAGTGTGTTGTCTTACAAACTGTAGAGGGCGCAATACACGCAATACACACATGTTGTTGGAGCACATCGGGTCATATCTCCGGATCTGAAGACAACTAGTTGCCAAAAAGTAGAACACAGGCAACTGACTGAATCCGGAGATTGACTGTTTATCTCCAGTTGTATGAGCGCTCACATCGACCAATTTCAACTGATCATCTCCATCATCTACTCTCAGTCGCCAAAAGCCGCCTTCAACTAGTTGTCTCCAGTTACTCTGTCGATGTGCACTAGGCTTTAGACAAACTCACCAAAAATGAGCTCCAGAAGGATGACATCTGAGGAGGCTTTAGCACAGATTTTTAACTGGGATAGTGATGTAGAGGAAGAGATTTCAGAAACAGAGGATTTTTCAGAGGCAGAGGACAATGTTATTGCTGATCCAGATTGTCAATTTTCCTACGATAAGGAGGATTCAGAGGACGAATCTTTGGTCAAAGAAAGAGGAAGGGAGGACAGACCGGACGGAAGGTAGGGAGGAAGGAAGAGAAAAGAAGGGTATAGATGAGGATGAACAGAGAGAAGGAAAACAGGATGAGAAGAAGGAAGGAGAAAGCATGGGAGGAGGAAAGAGGGAGGGAAGAATTGTCATTTTGACCCGAGAGGAGGACAAGAAGATTACACTAAATATTTCTTAAATATAGTGTTGGAATTAAAAATGTATTGTATTGTCACTTTTCTAAATATTTATATAACCTAAAATACAGTTGTTATTGGTTTAACCTGTTTTCTTGACTGTTTTGAGTGCATTTACACAGTATGGGTCAAAATGACCCGCAACATAATCAATGTCATTTTTTTTCAACATAATACAAGGGTTAATGGAAGTTATTTTATCTTATTTGAGAAACATGTGAGGTATCAGGGTGAACCAGATTCAACAGATTCTACAAAGTAGACAAAACCAAGTTCCAAAGAGACGAGTTGCATTCAATCATCCAGCGCTTCTTCCACTAAGACCATCCATGAAAAGCTGTGTTACTTGTCAATATATTTGCACTAAACCTACAAATAAAAATGTCTTCTTTCACTTCCTCAGAATAGCTCCAAGTCTGTAATGTGTGCTGCATTCTGTGGGTCTTTACACTGCTGCTGACATGAGATCTGTGATAAAAAGCAGAGCCACTCACTGAATGCATGTCAACTTGCAGATATCGAGGCAGTGCCATGTGTGAGCATCTGCTTATGTCGCGGTGCCTGAATGAATCCAGGCTTTTCACTTGTTAATGTAAAGCTGTGTGAGATATTAGCTCCAAGAGCCATCCAGGCAAGTATTAGCCAACAGCTGGTAAAGTAACAGTGTGTTTCAATTTACACATGGACCATTTAGAGTAATGACTTTGCTTCCTCATGTCAACAATTCATTGCAAGTAATGATGATATATAAGACAAATCAGCAGAAACTATTTCAGTGGAAGTGTTAACTTTTTAAATTTTAAATTTATTCTTTAGAAGTGTTTTTTATTCTTATTTTTATTATCTCTTTTTGACTGTCGCACTGAGCCAAAGCAATTTCCAAGTCTGTGACCTCCTGTTACTTACGTTGGCAATAAAAATGATTCTGATTCTGATTCTGATTCTGAACTGTAAGTCTTACTACTGTAACAACATATAAATATATGATAGGGAAACATGAGGGAAAAGCCAGAAAATGCAGACCTTTGAATGCGAACCATCCATCTTTTGCAGAAAGAGCCGAGGCGCTCGGCAGTAACGCCCAGTTCTTTAACAGACTTAAATGACATGTCAAAGAAAATGCCAAAGCGGACAAAGAGTCAACCAGCCAAAGCACTGCTCCACGTCCACAGGGCCACAAGTGGTCCTGAGCGTTTCAATAAAATGCACACGCCTCAGTGCAACAAACCCCGTCGGCCGGGGACTGCAGGGAAGTTAGTGCAGAAGGTATCGCTTCTATCAGGTTTCTGAAGTCAATGTTTAAGCAAATAAATGTACAATAACTGTAAGGGCTAGGCCTGTGTGGCTCCTGGGTTAAAGTGCTGCAGCCTGTCTATCCCATCACAGAGCTGTAGAATGTGAGCAATACCCGGGGATAAGCGCTGCAGACAATCCCTTATTGTTGGCTGTTTATGTGAGGTCCGAGCCAGTCCATGGGGATAAGGACACAATAGCTGGTGTCAGAAAGGCTCCTCCCTCATGCAGGACATTGTCCTCACTGTACTTCGGCCGCACTTCTTCACCCACTGACACAAAGAACAGTTTGACTCTACAGCCATAAGGCATTGAGACGTGTAAATATCAGTCTCTTGAAGATTGCATGCTCAAATGTATCCTGAGGTGATTGGAATTAGGTGACGCTACACACTACAAAGGAATGAACACTCTTTGCCTCTTGGCTAAGACTGACAAGGTGTTATTGCAGGCACACAGAGCCATGGTGTGCAGTGTGCACATGTTTGTGAGAGTGTGTTCTGCGCAGTAGGAGAGTGTCCTGGGGCTCAGATTAAGTCGTTGAGTGGATCCACTCCTGCGTTAGGCCCTTCATCTCCTCCCTATTTTTTCCTTTCCATTCTCTCCTTCTCAATTTGAGACAATTGTTTGTCTTAATGGCTTAACTATTGCTTCCATCACTGGAGTTTCTCTGTAGCTATAGGATCATGATTGATGATTGGTCTGCACTGAGTATATCTGAGGTCATTGAAAAATATAATGACTTTTGTCCTCACATCCCCTTTTCAGGCCAGCTGCAGTAACACAATTACATATTACTTAATTCCTGAACTAGGAATCACTGTTGAAACGCATTGTTAATACAAATACAACAAACCGCTGAAAACGTTGCCGTTTGTGCACTGGACAGAGTAAGCTTCAATTGTGTTTCCAAAAGACACACAGAAAACAACCCATCCAAGAAAGACCTCAATTCAAGACAGATGCAGAATTTCTGATATTTATTGGATAAGGAGACTGTACATACTGTGGATAAAGTGTAAACGTGTCAGATATAGCAGCAAACTTATTTGCATCTGATAATGAATGTGTGCTGTACATAAGAAAGAACACATTCCCACGTTTTGAAGTAATGCAGTGATCTTTAGAAACTAGCTGCTATCCACAGTGTTCTCCTGGTTCACAGCTGGAGCCCGCTGGCAGTCAGGCAGATAGGTGCACACAGCCACTGGAGAAAAAAGGCCCGAGATGTTGAGGAGAGTCGGGTCAGATGAAAAAAAAAAGAAAAGAAAAGACAGCTGCCTATATACCAAGACTAGAAGTAAGCACCACTCAGAGCTCAGCATGGTCTCTCAGAAACACGCCTACACGCAGACAGACATATCACACATGCATACACACAGACTACAGTTCAGGTTGACTGCATTCATCTCCCTGCTGTTTCCTCCTTCTGCCTCCACTCCAAAACACCCCCTCGCTGACTCCCTTAACCCCAGAACTGCGGCATGCACAAAACAGGGCCCTGAAAGTGACTTTTTGCAAGGGCCAGCCTGTCACAGTCCTTCTCTCATTTGCAGTCTGTTTGCTCGATGCGTAACAGTCCCAGAGGGGAACTCATCCTGTTGACAACTCACAGACTGAGAAACATCACTTTTAAGGGCGTCTGAGGTCATCGTTCACTCAACCACATGTACCAAGGTGTTAACGGCGGACACTCACTCCTCCACGGACAGGTTTTGACACAAACCTCACACAGACACTGAACATGATGCAACAAGCCAAAAGAAAATCAGAAAAACAAGCTCAACACAAATTCCCAACATTGAAGCTAAAGTCATGCCTTTATTATTGTTTGTTTCACTTTTATTAACAGCCACTGGATGTTGTTGTTGAGTGGCTGATGTAGAGGATTAGCATAAACCATGCTACACACATTGAGTGTAGCATGGTTTATGCTATTGATTACATAATAAAATACAAAATGTATTTTATTATGTGATCAATAAAATACAGTTATTTTATTGATCACATTTTAAGTTTCATAAAATGTTACTACAAATATTATTTTTTATTTCTTTTCACCTCCATTTGTTGCTAGTCCGAAAGCAAACGTTTGGCATGTACAAAAACCTCAGCTCCTCTGAGTATCAAGTAT